TAAAATAAATAAGGTAGCCACTGTTACTCGCCGATAATGTAGCTTTCCATTGGTGAAAGCAATTTTAAAATTGGTTTGAATGCGTAACAAACAATCTCACTTTCACATTTACACAATATAAGTACAGTTTACTAGCATACGTAAGTTCTAAACCTAATTTTATGGAGTATGATTTCAAAATTTCAGCTGTTATTAAAGAATTTTTTTTTCTTTATCAACTATTTGAACCTATACTGTGTTCTAAATATTCCATCAGTTTGAGAAGGTTAGAAAATAGACAACACTAACACATAAAAAATCTCATTGATCTTTACATAATTTTAGATTTCCAGTATTTTTTTTATTCAACCGATTTTGATAATCAGCCGATCGCTTTAGGTGTAAATCTTCAGAATGTCTTATAGATACTTCGATTTCTCACAACAAAGGGAACAAAGTTAGTATCTCTTGAATTATGGCTCCCTAGTCTCGAAGGGATACTTATCAGTCCCTGTGCAAGAGTTACTATCAAGTCGGTGGTACTTGGTATAACGATGCAATATATTGGAAAATACAGGAAGATAAATCGTAGGTTCTCACAACACAACACTTCTTATAGTTATATTTGAAACATACGGTGCAAAGGATTTTAATGGCGCTATAGATATTTATATATTATAACGTAAAAATAAATTCCACGTTAACATTACGCTAGTTTTAACGTTAGTATAATAAGTCTTAAGCTCTGCTTGGTTTGAAAATAGATAGCGTTGTTTGTCAGATGTCCGAAAATATTATTAAAAGTTAAATAAAATAGTGAAATTACTATGAAAATAATAACGAAAGAGCTTTAAATCCCCTCTATTCCTACTAACATGATACAAAACAAAAGTAACTCTGTCTGCTTGTCTGTTACGCTTTCACGCCTAACGCCGACCGATTTTAATGAAATTTAGTATGGAGATACTTTGATTCTGTAGAAAGGATATAGGCTACTTTTTACATCGATAACCAACATACAACCGAGCGGAGTTACGGGCAAAAGCTAGTCGTAGAAGTGTTTATTGGTAGTCAAATTAATGCTTCGAATGAACATTATTTTATAGTAAAATACAATATTAAACACTAAATCATCCTTCCTAAACCTCTAATGAAACAGAAGCGCCACCTCTCTCGACACGTCACTTAGGTAAGTCGAGATTACAGGGTTACAGTTCGAGAATGTTCCTATCTACCTCTATTCTAGAAATTTCACAAGCTCTAATTTGTCTGATATGGTTTAATTTGGTTTTTATTTGCTAGGAACTCTAAATAATTTACTATGTCAGTACTATGTAGGACAGGTTTTTAGAGTTTTTATGACGGAAGTAATAAGGACTATTATTAATGTTTAGTGCAGTTCTGTTATGACTTATTATTATTAACGTGGTATTAATACTTTTCTTAAAAGTTCAACACAACAATACAAATATTCGTATGAGGGGAAGATTCACATCGATATTTTTTTAGTAAGCCTGTAACCTGCAGAATTGAAAGTGGTTTAACCTTCATAATAAGTTAAATTTAATTTACACAGATAACAGAGAATCCCAACTATATCATTTGAGTATCGACCTCTGTCAAAGATCTCGATTTTTGGCTATAAGAGTGAGTATATAGAATGCATATATGTACTAAAAAAATCGGACAAGTGCAAGTCGGACTCGCCCACCGAGGGTCCGTACCAAGTAGGATTTTTTTTCATTTTTCGTCATAAATCGAAAACTATACAATCATTAAAAAAAAAAAAAAATTAAAAATCTATGTAAGCTTGTGTCAATGAAACCCTTCCATACGATACCCCACATGACACGATTAACTTGATTCAAAATTTGGACTGCCGTTTCTTGCATAAAGACCCTGTTTTTATGATTTAATTACAAATGTATAGTCTTCAGTTTTTCCCCTATATATAATAATACTAATATATTAATTTCAACTCGATACCTTAACGCGTTCCTGAGATAAAGGGTCTTGACAGACAGACAGACGGACGGACAACAAAGTGATCCTTTAAGGGTTCCGTTTTTTCCTTTTGAACCCTAAAAATTTACAAAGTTTTCTCTAAAATTCTGAGTCTAAAATGATAAGAAGTATTTATATTAAAAGTGTTTGCTTAACTTTGAATATCAATCAATCTTTTGGTAATATAATCCTTTACACCCAAATTTCACATGTTTAAAACCGTGACCAACTCACATTGGGGTTTTCTTTACCCAACCCCACGACTGCCGAGCCATTCCCACAAATTGGAAAATATCATTTATCAATACGAAATTGGTGGCGAAATCTAACCCGTCACGGTGAGTTGAATCAAGAATATTAGAAAAGGGTTGAAACCCTTCCTTCGTCGTAGAACGCGTCTTATTATAATCTTCATTGATTCCGGACGAGGCACTTACATTTTTAGGTCAAACTTCCTAGAAGAGGTTAAGCCGAGTTTAATTTTTTTACATGCCAGTATATTCTTTAATCTTCATTTATTTTATAATTGTAAAATTAAACGAACTTACCTTAAGTGAAGTTCTATGGAAATTATATGAGATGCTTAGTCCGAGACAATAGACACCCTCCCATTCCGAATACTCATCATAATTGCTGATATTCACCCCTATATCTATAGCTGGGAGTGGTAGATTCTCGTTTTTTCCAGGATAGCTCTAAAATAGTGACGTATAAGTATAGTGTTGCCATGGTGTGGATTTTTGTCGCATTCGCTTCTCTCTGAATCACGCGATGACACAATGCGAGGATTGTGAAACTACTAGTGATTATATGAAGGTTGTTTCGGACTAAGCATTTCATATAATCCTTGCATTTTAAGCATTTTAGGACTTTAAAGAAAAACGTTTTGATGGATACAGTATAACGACCACCAACGTGTCTAGACTTGCACAGTAGGTAATAATCTCGCAAAGAGGTAAAACAGATTAAATGTTTTAGTTAAAAATAGTATAATACAGATAGCGGTTAAAATTGTAGATATTACATATAAAAATAATCACATATGTATATATATATATATATATATATATATACTCCAGAGATACGAGAGTTAATACGAGCAATGAATACTAATACTTAGGAAAACTAATATTTAAAACTAAATAGGCATCTGTACCCACATTATTAGGCTTTATGTTAAAATAAAGCTTATAAAAAAGGTACCTACCCAGAGTATAAACTATGAGTTCAAAGAAACAGTTTATCATCTGTTCTAAGAGATATATTTCATAAAAGAAAAAATGATTTATAAGTTCTCATAAATTTCGCCTTATCATTCCTCAATCTCTCAAACATTTTTCTCTTTAATTTTATCCTGATTTCTATAGCATTTTTACCCTCATAAATAAATTCTTCTAACTCGACAGACGCAGGCCTCATATAACGTTCAAAACTCACATAATCCCAGTATTATGAGTCCCTTGGAGGTAACACTTTATGCAATACGCAAGGTAAATCTCAATGGGAGTGTAGCTACAAACGCTTTAAGCCCAAGAGAGGTGAAGTTTTTATGTTACCTTAAATTGTTGGTTGGTTTCATTTTTTTAACTGTTTTCTATAAAAACTGTAACTGGCTTGTAAATTAATTTTCTTTTGTGTTTGGTAAAAATACAAATTTAAAACTTGAATCGTCTTTAATACTGCGAGCACAATGAACTAAAGACAAGGCTGTTCTGGTCATATATGGTGTGACTTCGATAGCATTTGGTGTGACTAGGATAAAGAAGGTGAGGAATGAATACATTAGAGAGTATTAAAACTAACGTTAATGAATGAAGAGTTGAGGAGTGGTATGGCGGATGAGGATTACGTGCCGAGAAAGTTATGTATATGGAAGTAAATATACGCGAGTAGCGGATGACTAAAGAATGAAGTAAGAATCTTAAAAACAATAGCACTTAGAATAATTAAACTACAAATTAAACCTAATATATGTAATATAATTGTAACTGAGATGTGTTTGGTATACCACGGATAAACTCTTGGTCGTTTGTGTGGTATATAATAGATAACCTTATGTATACATGAATTTTAATGTTAGACAAAAAAAATGGACTGCGCGAAAGCTGTCTAACGATGAATTAAAGAGTGTGTTTTTTTTGTGTGTGTATATTACGCAAAGTATCCGTTATTTGTGAACCAATTACAATAATTATATTTTAGTTGAGTTAACTTAATCTTAATGGGTTAATGTTACCGTTAATGGGTTTAACGCCTGTTAACAAAGCATTTTCAATCTGCAACTCACACGTTATTACCGGCTGCCGGACCTTCTGTCAGGTTATCCAGCGCTGCGGCACTTTATTTAAATTTAAATAGGGCAGGTCTATTTGATACACTTATTATTATTTACTGTGAAAAATTCCGTCTGTAACTTCCAACAAATAAAAAGCCGTCAGCTTTTATTTTTTTTGGGATACGGGGTAACGAGGTACTTTTCAGATTTCAAGGAGATATATAATACTAGCTGACCCGGCCACGCGTTGCTGTGGCTAAAGTTTTTGTTATATTACATTATAGTAAACAATCTAAGAGGAACAATAAGAGAACGTCAGTCACGGAGTCCACTATGCTTTTTCACACAGATGGTATTTGTAAAAAAATATGGTGATCTCCTTATTTGACTTTCTACTACTATAACCCTTTAGTACAATGAAATTATTTACGAACAAAGACGAAAATGTTGATGTTGGTATACAAATTCACTGGATTGTGATTTGAAGGGGAAGTACATTGAACACAATTAATTAAAATATTCTTACACTTGATATTAAGCAGAAATCAATAGGCACAAAATAAAAATTTATCAGATTTATTATTTCCATTTAATTTTATAACAAATATAAGTATATTACAGTATAATACAGCAAATAACATGTAACGCTTAAACTCATGAATGAGGTAGGCAAGGCAGACAGTCTTAAACTTTTAAACATTAATATCTATTTTTTTGAATTATAAATACTTTCAATTTCAATTTAATGTAACACCAATCGGTGCACAATGTTTTTGGTTAACCTGTCTTTAGCTAACACAAATAGATTCGACGGTTTCCCAACACGTGAACACGCAACATATAGTTGCCCATGAGAAAAACATGGATTTTCCAAATCTAAACCACAAATGGACATTGTTTGACCTTGAGATTTATTTATAGACATGGCGAAAGCTAAACGAATTGGAAACTGTAGCCTTTTGAAGGGTATGGTAGAATCTGATGGTATCATCGGAATACGTGGCAGCAGGACCACTTTTCCTTTAAACTTCCCAGCCAAAATGGTTGCTTCAAGAATGTTTCCGGTGATCTTTTTGATGACCAAACGCGTACCGTTACATAATTGAGGTGGATTCAAATTACGGAGGAGAATAATAGGGGAACCAATCTTTAATCGAAGATTATGTGGTGGCATTCCAGGGATATCTAATGAATTTAAAAATTCAATCGGAAAATTTACACTTTCATTTTCATCAACAACAGTATCGATTGATTTAAAAGACATCAGATCGCCTGGTAACAACTGTTGTATCTGGAAGTTAATTTCGTCAACATCAACGTTTTTGGCTGCCAAAATCGCCCGTTGACTAAGCCATTCATGATTCAAATAATTATTCTGTATATCCGGGAAAATACTCTGAATCAATTCATTTTTATCCTGAACAACAGTGCAAAAATTGTCTGGTAGTTTAATGCATTGCGTATTTGGTTGCAGTTCTATTTTACCGTTCCCAATATCTAGTAGTTGTTCGGAAAATATTTGTGCTGATGGATCATTTTGCAATTGTACTCGCATATTTATGGTCAATCGAAGTGTTTCAACACTTCGCCATAAGAATGATTGTTTCAAACATGCATTAATCTCATCCGCGAAAGTAGAGCGAGGTATAACCGGTAAGGTCTGCCGGAAGTCACCAGACAAAAGTAAGATAGCACCACCGAAAAGTTTATTATTGCTGTTCAAATCTTGCATAGTTCTGTTTAATGCTTCAAGTGAATATTTGTGTGCCATTGTGCACTCATCCCAAATTATTATAGAACTCTTCCGCAACACTGCAGCTATTCCACTATTCTTTTTGATGTTACATATTGCATCTGGTTTATTATGAACGTCCAATGGCAGCTTGAATGTTGAATGTGCTGTTCGCCCACCATCCAGTAAAGTAGCCGCAATGCCTGACGATGCTACTGCTAATGCGATTTTTTGTTGCGACCGTATTTTGGCAAGAATCAACGATATTAAAAATGTCTTACCGGTTCCACCGGGTGCATCCAAGAAAAAAAAACCGCCTTGTTCAGCAGCAACAGCCAGCATAATCCGATCATAAATAATTTTTTGTTCTGCTGTCAGTAATGGTTCACTGTTCATGATAATTGTTGCTAAACTTCCATGGTCATATTGATTTTCTCGTTGTAAATCGGTATTGACTAAGTCGGTGGCTGGACGATTAGGTGATGGCATACCATAATGATTAAGTGGTAAATTTGAAATAAGAACACATAAATCCTCGATCAAGACCAATGCTTCATTGTACATCTCTGGTGTATAATCTATGTTTTGGCATTGATTTGTTTGTCTAATTCGGTGCAAGATGTCTTCTGTCATACAATTTTTATATTTTTCCCACAAAGTTTGTGCTTGCGAGGGATAACATGTCGTCAAAATAATTGCAAACAACTGACGAATGTTATTCGGTGTTGATGTCAACGCAGCATCAGCAAGCGTTAAGTCCCAATGGTTATCGTCTTCTAGCAATTGCAGTTCACGACATGCATCCTGGTATTGAATACTCGACCATTAACTGTTCGTAAAAATTCAAAAGACGTTGGTCCGGGAACATTCACCAATAACAAACGTAAATAGAAGCACTCACGTTGCTTTGGATGTACCGTGTAAAGTCTCCCCAATGTCTTAGCTTTGAATATGCCTGTAATAGAAGGATGTGGTTTTCCTTGTTTCCGTGGCTCCCATTTTTTACTGGATTTGTTCCATGTGAAATAACGTGGAACATCACCATACACCAATGTCTTCGCGAATTGGCCAAAAACATCAGGTTTTTGACACAATGTAAAAAATTCAGTTAGAGTCGTTTTCGGAGCTTCGAACGCTCTTTGGAGAACATTTTCTTCAGTGAAGTATACACGTTGACCGTTTTCAAGATGTATTGCCAGATGTTGGACAGCAGGATCTCTTTCGTGGATGGGAAAGCTGAGAATATGCCAAATAGCTTAATTGCTGCTAATGTATCTGCCCATTTGGTATCGTGCTATTTCGTCATTTTTATTTATGTTTTGTACTTCAAATATGGCCAAATCACTGCCTTTGTTTACATATTTACAAATATACTTAATTGATTTAACAGAACTGCAAAGCTCAACATTGATATGAGCTTTGTAAGTTTTTGAAAGTAGTGGTGAGTATGGTACCACCCACTGATTATCAAACTCAACTTGATTTGGAAAGTTCGGCAGTCGCATTGTAAATGTGTGGCCACCATTCTCAGTACTTCTGCGGCGATACATTGGATAACCATCAATATCCGTGATCGTGTCATTCGTATGCGGCTTTGGGAACTTTTTTTTACATTTTCCATTTTCCATGCACGGTGACGTCATGTTGAAAGCACCGCATGGCCCATGGATCATGTGTTTGGTGACAATATCAAATAATTCTTGATCACTTACTGGGTCTGGAATTTTGGCTGAAATTATTTGATCGATTTCTTCAGGACGGATTCTATCTTTAAGCCAAACCAAAATGTGGGCATGAGGCAAACCTCGCTTTTGCCACTCTATCGTATACAGCCAACAACGTGTGATACCAAAAATTGAATATTTAACAATAAAATCAATTAAGGATTTCAATTTTTGTTTAAACACACGTGCAGTTAAATCATGACGATGAATGGCTTGTTGTCCTGGCAATAGTAAAGTTTGTATCTCTTCCCAATTCGGATTACATGTGAATGTAATAAATAAATCCGGTCGGCCGTAATGACGTACGTAAGTCATCGCATCTTGTATGTATTCCTGCATGTTCCGTGGACTGCCGATGTAGCTTGAAGGTAAAATGAAAGCATTACCGATGTCATTGGGATTTAAATTTCCATCGATGTTTCCAGCAACAGCATCTCGTAAGTGAATATATTCTTCTGATCGTAGTTTTGCCTGGTTGAATCGAAGGAATCGCAAGCGTTCGCTTTCGACCTTAGCATACATATCAACAATGTATTGATGGAACAGCTGACGATATCGAAGGATATAATTGTCTTGATGTTGTCTAACCATTATTCGGTGTGCGTAGTAGTTCATTGAGCTAACTTTATTATTTCTGTAATCACCTAAAAAAATAAAATGCAATACGAAATTAAAATCTATACATACAGTAAGAAAGTAAACAGATAATTGTCAAATTTACCGGTATTTGGATCATACTGTTTGATATTAAGGTGATATTCATCTTGTCCTTGCCAAAATATCAATGGATATTGTAGTGCGTCATATGAACGGTGTAGATCCGAAATCGTACTGACAGTGTTGTCTCGCCGTGTAATTTTTATAGATCTTTTGTCAACTGGATCACCAACCATGATAACAGCAACCTCATCAACAGTTGGAGCGTTGAATCTACCAGCATGTTCACCTAATGGTACTTTGTCGGCTTTTATGACGATTTGATAATTGTCATTTTGCAGTCGTGGCGAAACTCTTTTGATCAATTGAATTAGTTGATTGTGATCTTCTAAAAAAATTTCCAATAATATCGCAATTGCTCTTTCCTCTGCTTGTTCAATAAAATTATACAGGCACCGAGTCGTCACGCGCTCTTCACAATCGCCCATAAAATAAATTTGAAGAAATTTCGGATTGTTATCAGGCATTGGCATCAGTGATCCGATTTTATGGTACACCTGGCCTTGAATTTTGAATGTAGTTTCAAAATTACGTCCATCGGATGCACGATCGCAAATTTAAGTTGCCCCAAATGACGTCATTTGGAAGCAAGAATTAAATTTGCGTATCTTACGCAAAAGTAATTTGGAATCATCTGAATTGCCAGTAAGAAAGGATAATAAAGGCTCCGGCGGAGCGGGTAGAGGTGACAGCACAACTTTTCCTGATGCGCAGCACATGCCGGCTGCTTCATTCCGAAATTTCAATGCCTGACAATATTGACATACTTTATCCATTCCACCGATAGCAATTTTTGAATGCGCTGAGTAGTTAATATCTGGTGCATATTCAAAGGCAAGCCGAACGAATGATGCACGTGTTAATGAGCGGCTGATCCGTTGCCTTTGTCGATCTAGTACTCGTACTGTAGCTATGTTTCGTTCTCGTGCCGCTCTTGTTCTCGTAATATTCTGTTGCAGACGTTCGTCACGCTGTTCTTGAGATTCTTGTGCACGACTTTCTGCAGTCCTGATTCTTTGAGCTGCATTTTTTGTTTCGATTTGTTCTGGTAATTGCTGAGCTCTTCCAACACGTTTGCGTCGTGACCCATTGCTGCTCGCGTTTTTGAGGTTAGATTTTTTCGGTGGCATTTGACTGCAAATAATAATTTAATCGTTTAAATATTAGAAAGAGGAACTGAAAAACATGTTATCATAGCACATTGAAATAATAAATGCAAAATAATTTTCAATGGAGGTTAAATAAAAATAATATAACATTTTTTGTACAATTATTGAAAAAGTGTGGGGAGCTTTGTGCCTTTCTCATTGATATATTAATTAACTTTTATAAAACTATGTGATATTACTTACATGTATAAATTGAAATTATTGTTCCTGTGCTCCTACTGTGGCTATGTCTCGTTCTCCTGCTGCTCTTGTTCTTTTATAATATGAATTCAATTTACACTTCAGTCTAAGTAACACGTGGCCGGCTATGCTACCAAAAATTTAAAAAGTGGAAATAATTGAATTATACGGTATTTCGTTCACTACAAAATAAATTTAATTAATTTTATAGCGTCAACAACACGTGGTAATTATGCTGTTAAAATGTAGCTTATATGACACGTTCGTAGATTTACCATAGCAGCGCCATCTATTGATTACTTACTCAACCCAGTCGAAAGGTATCCACATCTGTTAGAAGCATTTGGAGTTAACAGATAATTGTGACTGTCAAATAATAACAGACAAATAATTAGCAATAAATTAAAATTGCGACTATAATTTGAGATTTAAACTATCCTATCTCTCAAGTTGGATCGAACTGCACATGATGTGCGAATTTTATTATAATCGGTTAAGTGGTTTAGGAGTCCATTGAGGACAAACATTGTGACACGAGATTTATATATATTAAGATAATATAATTTAATGTATATAATTTAATGAGTGTTTTATGTTAATTTCCACTTGATAATTCAATGCATTCTTGAGAGAAATGATCGTGATAGATAGACAAAGAGATAAAGTACTTATTCTATAGTGGTTCCTTGCTCCTTTCAAGAAACAGAACCCTAAAAAATATACAATAGTAACTATAGTCGTTCTGTGTCAGATGTTTGAGTCTCATAACTATGTTTAATAAAAAAGCAGTTTGCTTTTTATAAAATCCGTAATCGATTCCATGAGCAATTCAAAGCAAAATCACATTTAATTTCAAAACCTTAAAAACTAATTTAACTTGAACATTCTTTACCATAATAAACATTCTAAGTATACCAAAACAGAAATGAGCGGGCTAACTATTTCTTTAACGAGTACCAACAACTCTCTGTGCCATGTTCGGAACAAAACATTATGTGCCAGTAGTATTTAAAACAGTTATAAATATATTAATAGATAATTTATAATAATAGGATTAAGAATTTATCCCGTGGGTGTCGTAAGAGCCAACTAAGGGCGCAAAACAACGCAGGACACCAGCACTGCAAAAAGAAGGAAAACTTGACACAAACCCTATACCAACCCGTTTGGCCAGCTTAGTATAGTAGACCAAAACCTCCTTTCTAAGGAGAGGCCTATGTCGAGCAGTGGACTATTAAAGGATGTTGATGATTGATGAATATATAATTTCATAACACACGAAAAGAGGTAAGGTTTAAGGTCAAATCCGTCAACGTTGTACATGGGCTCGAATGACTTTGGAATGAAATTAAAAAGACCTTCGGAACTCTACAAACACCTAAGAGTCACCAAAATACATGTCTTGTCAAAATCACAAGACGAAATCGTTAGATAATTTCAAAAAGACAATAATTCATCAGAGCTCGAGTCACGGCTTGAATGTTATTATATATTAATATATTATATGTTATTATACCTACATTGTTTTTATTATGATTCTAAATCTTTTTTGCAATCTATTTTTAAATAATACATTGGACTAACGACCAGACGGGTCACTTGATGATAAGTGACTATCGTCGCCCATTGACACCTTTAATTCAAGAAACATACCATTTTCTTCAAGGTTTAAAGTAGTATCAGTTCAGAAGATACCACACGACACAATTTGTTCTTTAAACATACGAGTATTTTCACCAAATCAAAGTATAACGTAAGTTATAAAACAAACAAAGAAATACATAATTTACAATAGGTATTTTCAAAACAAAACAGAATTAATTACTGTAACAAAAAGTTAAATTCAAAATGAATATTCAACAACAAATTAGAAGTTAAGCGCAACATCAACTTGTGAAGTTTAAATTAATCGTGGCTCTGAAGCGAGTGGCGGACTGAAGAGTCAAATGACTGACAAACTGAGCCGACGTTTTGATGGCGTTGTTTTAACTTTATAATTATATTGACAATTTTTAATACTATTAATGTGGCATTTTGAAAGAAGTGGAAAGTACCATTTGATCCGCACTAGTTGTCTTATTATTCCAAATCTTCCACAACCTTTGAGGAAGTTTTGGATTGTTAATTTTTGTTTTAGACGTCTCACACAGAGCTGTCTGATTCTAAACTAGGTAGAGCCTGTGCTATGGTAACCATACTTATATATTTCTAAACACGGTACAATGCATATCATAGATATATTAGACAAAAAACAAATGATTATAAAACTGCACGGATGACGTAGTGGTTTAATTGGTCGCCGCTTTCTACTGAGTGTTGTGGGTCCGATCTCCATATGGGATAACAGTTTGTGTGATTTACAAATTGTTGTTCTAAGTCTGGGTGTTCTTTGTGTCCGTTTAATGTATGTTTGTAAAGTTCCCTCGCGACATAGGATATATTCCTAGTGCGGGAGTTGTCTTAAAAAAAATAAAGATTATGCTCATTTCAAAATTATTTGTTTTGAGTAAGATTGAACCCACGACCTCTGGTTTAGCAGTTAGTGACAGGCCAAGAGGCCTGTCTTATTAACGCGGGTGTTATACATATACATTCATAGTTATGCTTGTATCACCAAACGGGTAGGCAGAAATGTATTTTAGATCTACTGTTAACCCGCTGTGCTGAACTTTGTCATTTATGAACTGATTTTTAAAAATATATTTTATTTAAAAGTTTTTTGATGAACCTATCGCAGTCTACTGCTGGAAATAGTCCTGTCCCATTGCACGCTACTTAGATCGATTTTCGGCTTCTCACGTTCAGCTCTTGCCAGCCATTTTGCCTTATTTTTATCTTGAAAGAGTTACCTTCTATTTATTCCTATTAAAATTTGTGGTAAAAGCTCCAGCCTTAAGGAATACAGAAAACATAACAATTCCTCATGGTGTATTGAAGTCAATGATAATTTGACTTAGTGTTGATTCCCCTTATTCACGCTCCCTCCTGAAAGTTATTAAAACGATATTATATGATAACTACAAACATAATTATATTGATTCTCGATTACCCCCGAAATTTAAAAAATAGTATAGTCAAGCGAAACTTACTAACCTGATAATTTATTTAGAGTTAATTATATTGTCAATAAATGTCATGTGTAATAAAAATGTCAAAATATTTTAATTTACAAAAAAAAAAACCCAATGTATGATATCCTACTTCAAGGATGGTGTAGTGGTTTAAGCGGTCATCTCACCACTTCCTACTGGGTTGAGTGTTCAATCCTCACAGGGGACACATTGTCTTACCGAGTATCGGTGTTCTTTGTGTCGGTTTCATGAATATTTTTAAAGTCCCCCGCGACGCAGGATATACATATTTCTAGTGTGGGAGTTGCCTTTTTAAAGTGAAAAAAAAATTGACAGCAGATGGCAAGCTATGACCTACTAAGTGTAAGAAGTATTTTAAATATAAATGAAAATTTACATTTATTAAACTTCATCATCATCGTCATCGACAACCTTTAATAGTCCACTGCTGGACATAGGCCTCTCCTTAGAAAGGAGGTTAAACTTATTTGACAGTAATAACGCAAAGTGTTGAATAAATTTTAAAACGATTTTTAAATTACCGACATCATTAAGTGCCATTCGCTTCGGTGACAAATTTAATTATGAAAGTAATATTTAGATTAGTCTAAAAGAAAATGGTGTTTAAACAAAAAGGTATTTAAACAACCTTTTTTATCTTATGTATTTACCGAGACAAGTTTAACTTGTTACGTAAATATTAAGATGTGGCTGATCTTTTTTAAATATTTTGTAGGCATAAACACATAGTACGCAAAATATTAAAATAAATAGTAAAGGAAATAATAATAATATAATAATACACCTACAGTTCCATTAGAAAATTAACTAGTACTTGAAAATTCTTGTAGCAAAACATCCTGTCATTGCTAAGTACAGCATGTATCTACTGTAGGTATAATACGTCAGTTATACTCGTATATGAAGCTTTTCCAATCACTTTTACACATGCATACATGAACTAACGAATTTTGAAAAGAGCATAAAGCCGCAACTTATATCGAGTATTTCAGGATTGCTATTTAAAATAATTTATCTTAAACTTCTTACCTTTATCGATAAAACGTTAAAACCTTTTAACATATGTGTTTATTGCACAATGTAAAATACTAGTTATTGCAAATAAGTAATTGCAGGACTTTAGAGTTAGAACTAAAAATAAAACTGAAATAACAGGATCAGTCCCTTAGATAGTCATACAAAGTTATTTTATTTCTAAATTACTTTGAAAATGATTGTAACAAACATCTAATACTTTAAAACAAAAATTCTACCTCTTAAATGCTGAAAAATTATTCAATGCTAACAAATAATATTTTACGTGACCGTAAGATACTCTGTTGCGGCTGTTTCTCGCTGATAACAGAGTACCATTGCATTTTTCATTTTAAAAATAGAGGCTGAAAATACGAGTTACCGAATAACTGTACTTTTTTACCAGTATGAAATATTACTGGACGTCACGTCCACTTGTTTGTAACAATTAATGAAACTGTTTCGTACATTATTAATAGGATAAAAAGACACGTGTTTGTTAATTTACGGCAATTAAACAGCTTATGCTGACACAAAGTACTAAGCAAGAATTGCTGTAATTTAATGTTCTAATGTTAATAATTTTGTTAAAGTATATGTTGAGGTATGATCAAGTTGGAAAAATCTATTTATTTTCAATTTTGTACACTTACATAAGCACAATTATTCTGATTA